CATCAGGAGGCTGAACCCTCAACAGTCTGCAGAATCCCCTCACTGATTACACTGTAAATGATAATCTACCTTAACCAAAATCAAAGTAGACTATCACTCACCCACACCAGATGGAAAACTCTACAGACTGTCGGTTCACACCCTATATTTTTTCCGACACATGATGTCACATATTCTGTAATGGTTGGCACACCTCGTGCTTTCTTAAACCACCATTTTGCACCCCCCTTGACGTTTCTCGGCCTTCGGCATCTCAGGACGCCAAAGGAAGGGTCGGCAGAGCCTTGGTTGAGCCTCAAGGAAATGCTGGGTGCAAGTTGGAAGGCTGGCCGCAAAGAGTAGGCGCAAGTTGACGGTCTGGTGCAAAAGACTTCTCTGGCCACGAAAAACGACAAAACAAAATGACAAAAGTTCACAAAACTCACATTCACACACAAAAAAAAGAAAAAAGAAAAAAGAAAAAAGAAAAAAGAAAGAAGAAGAAGAAGAAGATGAAGAAGAAGAAGAAGAAGAAGAGATGGAGGATTAGAAGAAGAAGCATGGAAGTCTCCTCTTTCTCACACACTTTCTCAAGAAGATTCTAACTGGTGAAAGGTAGAGCCTTGAGCTGCTGATGCACTGCAGATGTCTTGAAGAAGAACACTGGCTATGGCCAGTGACAGACCTCCAAGATATGGCGGCAAGTGAGTGAACTTCACTACACTGCGCTCCTGCTCTACTGCTTGCCTCTCGACCTTCTCTACAGCTGGCTGATCTACCTTGCACCCTGGTGGCACTCAAATGAACTGAAGACCACTGCCTGCTATTTTGCCGGCCACCACCCAACCCAACCTCTCATCTGCTCGGTCGAAAATGCCGAGGATGCAGCAGTCCAGCTGGGCGGCCATGTGACCAGTCTCTATGCCCAGGCTCGAAAACGTGTGGCATGGGTCCGTACCAAAGTCCCTCTGCCAACTCAGCAACAGGGCCTGGATCAAAAACAGCCTGTCCATAAAGACGGACAGAGGCGCCACCAGAAACAGACGAGCTAAGTCAAAAACTGAAACATTATCTGGCAGAGGTCCGAACAGGACGAGCCTAGGCCTGCTCGGGCAGACCTGAAAACAAAACGATCTAAACCAGGGAAAAATAAACTGGCCCAAAAATAAAACCACGCCGACACCAGCGAAAAATGGAGAAATCAAAAGCAAAGCAAACTGAATAAGAACGAGAACAGAAAAATTGCATGCGCGTGACAGGCCAAAAGCGCACACACCTGTCCAGGAGCTCACTCACCCAGGGCTGTATGATGGTCGAGTCCCTCTTGGCCGATAGAAGGCCATAGGAAAGGCCTAGAGGGCTGAGGGGCCTACCAAAAAGGTGTCTGGTTCCCAGGCACATTGCGGGAGTCCCCAGCATGCTGCCGTTATGTATCCGATTGAACTTCAATCCACAACAAATTCACACGTTCCCATACACGCATGCAATTGCAGAGTAGACTCGAAGGAGGCAAATCCACACAAAACCGGAGAGAAGATATGCACAGCGGAAGCTCAAAATACATAGAGAATTGAAAAACGAATTTCAATTCTGCTATCCCTCGTCCTCCTTCAATCAATCCAGAGTACTTGTTCCAAGAATCACAACCGCGTTTACATCAGCCCCGAACAACCAGAAACAAGTGTTCAACGAAGTATGCAGGAGTCTTCTTCTTCCTCCTCACCACCTCATACCCCTGGCTATGGCTGCCGTACCAGCAGTAACCCCACAGCTGTTACAACGTGCCAATCTGAACCAGCAACCCTAATGATAACAGCGCCAGCTCAGCACCCGCACGGAAGTGCAGCGCTGGAAGTCCTGATGAAGAAGGAGACAACCGATTCAGCACTTCGAAGAAGACAAGTTCCTCGAGAGGAGGAACGGCAGATCTGGCTGCCAAGTGGAAGATGGCAGCACCCAAACCCAACAACACAGTCCTGTGGAAGCTATGGCTGGGCTTCGAGGAAGAAGATGACCTCGCCCAAAATAGAGCAGCAGCGCTCCAACAACGGACGGGCAGAGTTTCCCCAGTCAACGAAAACGTGACAAGACCCGAACCAAATTCCTGCCCGCTATTTCTACCCTCTGCCTAGACGTATGACGCACTCCGACGGAAACAGGGGAAAAGGGGACCTAGACCTATGACAAGGCAAAAGGAAAAGGCGGAATGGCCTAAGGCGACCAAACAGAGACTACTAGTGACAAACTCAGGGATCAAGTCTCATAGGGTGCAGCACTCACAAACAAAATAAACGAGTTACAGGTCACGGGATCAAGTCCCGCAAGGCTCAAAACAAGAAAACAAACTACAAAGCCAAACACTTTGTGTACAGCCCCACTGGGAAACTGTGATTTATTGCACTGCAACAAGGCAAATGCTAGCCATGTCTGGGCGTGGATTCATCGGAAAGCAAATGTGCTGGACCCTTGATCCAGTCTTTGGATAGCTTATCTGTCCGAGGGACAGCTTGACCTTTGACTTCCTATCGCAGATCTCGGCTTCACGGTTGACATGCTCAGGGTTGGGCTACTATGGTAGGCCTGCGACTTCCAAAGGCTGAAATGACCCCAAACAATTAACCAGCAAGGTGGCGGCCACAGGGCTTTCTTGGAGCTGGGCATGCTCTGGGACTTACCGACCCTTATTCTGGTGACTCTTGGGGCGCGGCATTCTACTTCCGTTCGACCCTGTTCTGGCGAGGGTTGCATCAAAGCTTGTCTAGGTCCTCTTTAATACCTGTTTGTTACAGCAACTGCCCAGAATAGGGCTTTTTTAACCTTCTAGCCTTTTTGTGCCATGATGTGTTTTCCATATGCTTTTGTAGATGTTGACAGAGAGGCCTCCCTGGACTTTTTCTAACTTGTTTAGGATTCCTGAAAGTTGGGCCAAATGCAGCTATGATGACCGGCCGTTCTATTCGGGTGAAGACGGTAGGTGAGTTCTGAAGTTGATCTAGCAAGGGGACTGAGACCCAATGGGCTAGTAACAGAACAAAAGCAATTGTAGGACTTTGAAATATTGGCAGTTCCTGAGATGCGCAGACCAGCCGTGATGGCCGCCTGGGTGCAGTTCCCTTGGTCAGGCTCCTGGGCGGCCCAGGTGCCAAACCATGACCAGGCGATTTTGAACCCTGTAGGCCATGTGGCAGCTATGGGGAGTTCCAGAGAAACCAGGTAGGTGCTGGAATAAAAAAATTGTTAGCCCCCACTTGTTTTTAAGTTTTCAACTTTTCACAATCACGTCCATTGATCAACGAAGATCAGCATCTATTATATCGCATGTTTGCATTGGAATTTGAATTGCCACGCAAAGTGACTGTCGCCCATTGGCATCATCATTGTCATTCATGCTACTGTCATCGTCCATGTTATAATTGTCATTCTCTGCGCTGTTGCCGTTGTCGTCCTTGTCAATTCGGCATGTCTGTGACAGACTGCCTTCTTCTTCTCCCACCCAATTCCCCTGATTGCTCCTCCTCCCCCCACCCCTTCCATCTTCCATGTCGCCTCCACTCCCAAGCTGGTCATCTTTACGCGCCACCTTCCCCCATTCTCTCTGCAACCATCTCCTGGTTCTGTTTGTGGTGTTCCCCCCAGCCTGATCTCATACTCC